TTATTTTAGAAAATTATCATAAAGATTTTTATTTAAAGAACCAAAAATGATATCATCAACATAAATTTGTACAATGAGTATATCCTCTTCCAATTTCTTCAAAAAGAGAGTTGTATTTACACTTCATTTTTCAAAAGATCTCTCAAGTAGAAAGGTGCTCAACCTCTCATACCAAGCCCTAGGTGTCTGTTTTAATCCATATATTACTTTTTTTAATTTGAAAATATGATTTGGATGTTTAAAATTTTGAAAATCTTGGAGGTTGTTCCATATAAACATCCTCTTAAATCACCCCATTTAAAAAGATGCTTTTAACATTCATTTAATATAATTTAAATTTTCTAAAACAGGCAAAGGAGAACAAAATCTTAATTGATTCAAGTCTAGCTACAGGGGCAAAAGTCTCCTCAAAATCAATTTCTTCAATTTGATTATACCCCTTAGCCACTAATCTAGTCTTATTTCTAACGACTACTCCTAAGTCATTCATTTTATTCTTGAATACAAACTTAGTTCCAACTACACTTTGATCATTTAGCCTTGCAGTTAATTTCTAAACTTTATTTCTTACAAATTGATTTAATTCTTCTTACATAGCCAATATCCAAAATTTATTTGAAAGTACTTGATCAATATTTGTGGGTTCTATTATTGAAATAAAGGCTGAATGATTGACTTCTTTATTCAGTCCATACCTAGTCTTAACACCCTCATTAGGTTCACCTATAATCAATTTCTTTGGGTGGTTTTTAGAAAGTCTCAAATCTCTAGGCATCGGATTTTCTATCTTCAAATTTTCATCCAAATTTATTTTCTCAATCTTTTGGGAGTCAAACTCTATCTCATCCTCTTCAACAATCAGCTCTTCAAAAATTCTAGATTTATCAAATACAACATGTATAGTCTCCTCAATTATCAAAGTTCTTTTATTGAATACTCTATAAGATTTTCCAACACTTGAGTATCCTATAAAAATTCTTTCATCTGATTTTGGATCAAATTTTCCTAAGGGAGATTTTTCATTATTATGAATGAACACCTTACATTCTTTTAAAACATGCAAATGTTATAAATTAAGTGTTCTCCCCTAAAGTAACTTATAGGATATTTTATTCAAATTTTATCTTACATTCACCCTATTCAGAACATAACATATTGTGCTAACCGCCTCAGCCCCAAAATATTTAGGAAGTGAATATTCTGCCAACATGGCTCGAGAGGCTTCAATTAATGTTCTATTTTTTCTTTCAATTATCCCATTCAACTGAGGGGTTATAGGTGCAGAAAAATTATGATCAATCCCTTTCTCCTTATAAAATTCTTTAAATTTTTCATTTTCAAACTCTCCTCCATGATTGCTTTGAATTATCAAAATCTTGCATCCTAGTTTTCTTTAAATCCAAGTCAAAAAATTTCTAAATTCCTTAAATGATTCACTCTTATAATGTAGAAATCTAACCCATGTGAATCTCAAGAAATCATCAATAATTACAATTCTGTATACCTTTCCTCCTAGACTTACAGTTCCAACTGGTCCAAAAAGATCCATATATAAAATCTTCAATAATTTACTAGTTCTATGATTCTTATTGGACTGAAAAGAGGACTTCACCTACTTTTCTAATTAACATGCATCGCAAAGATGATCCTTAGTAAAGTCTAGTTTTGGTATACCTCTCACTAAGTTCTTTTAGGTAATTCTCCTAAGAATTTTCATGCTAGAGTGACAAAGTCTCCTATGCCAAAGCCATGACTCATTAGAAATAGTTTTTAAACAAAAAATAGTATGAGTTTTAATATAATTCAAGTCTAGTATATACACATTGTTTACCCGTATTCCATGCAAAATATCATTACCATTTAAGCTTAATATGCAACTAGTAGGGAAAAATTTAACATAGTATCCTTTATCGCATAGCTGACTAATACTTAACAGATTATGTTTTAGGCCTTATACACATAGTACATTCTCAATATAAAAGATTTTAAGATTTCCAATCATACCTGATCTAACCACCTTCCTTGTGGTGTTATCTCTAAGTGTAACCCTACCTCCACTCCTAGCTTTCAGCGATATAAATTATTCAGTATCTCTAATTATATGCTTTGAGCAACTACTGTCCAGGTACCATATGCTCTTACGAGGCCTTGCATGAGAGCAATCTTATAAAATCATCAAATATTAGACCTGGGAACACAAACAAGTTTGGGTTCACCTTTTTACAAATTATAAACAGATACAGTATGTTATGTCTAAGTTTATACATTTTTGGCTTCCACACCAGATAAGTTTTTCTATTCAATGTACATGTGTGTGCTATATGTCCAAATAATCCATAATTAAAGTATTTGACTCCTGTAAATGGGTCTCTTAATCTTCTATAATTATTTTGTCTTTTTATGGATTGTATAAATTTTGGATACAAAGTAGAATTTGTGAAATCTTCAAGTCTTGGGGGTATCATATTATCCATGAGAGCTTTTATCTTCAATTTATAAAAGATATTCATATCTTCTAATATATGATTTGTACAATTTATTCGATAATTTTGGCTCTCTGAATCATCCTTAAAATCTTTAAATTTTTTTTCAAGTTCTGTATAGGATGATTTTAAATTTTCATAATTCTTATTCAAATCATCAAACTCATCAAATAATTTCATGTGGTTGTTATCAATTAAAGCATAATCTTTCCTAAGGATCTCTTATTTTCTTTGCAAATCTTATAACTCTAAGTTCAGACTAGCATGCATTTTCTTTAATTTCTTATATGCAACATGTATGCGTTCAGAGACTTCTAAAAGTTCATTATTAGTCAAGTCACATACCTCTTTTTGATCTGACTGATTAAGATTATCGGCCATTAAGCACAGATTGGTGACTTTCTCTTCCTTTTTAGTCTCTGATGAGTCTGAAGCTGAGTCCACCCAAAAAGCTCTTTGGAATTTCTTCTTGCCCTACTTTACCATTAGTTTCTCCTCTACCTCCTCCTTGCTAGGAGTGGTTTTGAGTTTTTGATAGTCTGACTTAGTGTGTTCATATTTCCTATACTCATAGTAAATAACATCATTTAAAACCTTAACATTCCTATTAAATTTACCTCGATTCTATTGTTGGCGTCTCTTTTGCTTCCTCTTCAGAAAAATTTTGAATTTTCTAGTCATTAGTGCGATGTCATCTTCATCCTCAAGTTGTGATAGATCACTCTCCGACTCCTCTACTTTCAGTGCTATATTCTTTTCTCTTCGTGGTTCACCTGTATCAATCTTTCTTTGACTCACTCCTTGTTCATAAGCAACTAGTGATCTAAGAAGATTGTTAATAGAGTAAACATTTAAATCTTTAGACTCTGTAATCATAGTTATTTTTGTATCATATGTAGTAGGCAAATAATGAAGTATCTTATTAATCATTTCAACATTCGTTAATTCCTTACCCAATGCATGTAAAGAGGTGACTATTTGTGTGAATCTTGTGTACATGTCAGAAATGGATTCATTAGGTTTCATGCAAAATAATTCATAGTCATGCAATAAGATATTAAGTCTAGATTATTTAACTTCATTAGTTCTTTCATATGTTATACAAAGTCTATCCCATATGTTCTTTCCACTCTTGCAAGTGGAAACCCGCATGTAGCCTTCTAACTTAAGTGCACAAAAGAAACTATTTAAACATTTAACATTTAGTTGTGCTAAGTCACGTTCTTCTACAATCCAATATGCAAAGGGTGTCTCAACTCTAATACCATCAACTAGTTGATTTTTTTTCTCTATGTAATTGACTAGAAACTTTGAAGAATCAGTCGAGACTAAATCTATACTCATTTCTCTCACGGCCTTTATAAATTCTTCCTCAAAAATTGAATATATTTTTCTTGAGTAAAATCTAGCAGCTTGTTTTAATATTGAGATGTTATTTATCACGGGAATAATTTCAGACTGACTGCATTTGTAATCTTCATCCTGCTCATTTCGCCTCCAATTCATCAATACATTTTCCAACCCAAGAAAACAATCAGTTAATGAACTTGTTGGCTTAGAAATGCCATGACACACATTATTAGTACACTCGCTACGCTGCGTTGATAAAATGCCCATGCAAAAACAATTCTTGTTGAAAGCAGTTAACCACTTTCTCCTTATATTATAAAGATCTTGCAACCATTCATGGTTATGAAGATTCCCTTCCTTCATCATTTCATCCCATGCTTCCTCAAACACTTCCTCAGAATCACATCACCTCATACACTTATAGAAGAGTCTTTTAACTTTATTATTGCTATTATAGATAGAAACTTTTGATGGAACCTTTTTAAAGATGTGTCATTGGCATAATCTATGATGAGTGTGAGGTAATGCAACTTCTATGGCCTTGGTCATAGCTTGGTCCTGATCAGTGAATATTATTGTTGGATATTTATTACCCATTATTCATACAAATATTTTAAACAACCATGTAAAACTTTCAATTATTTCTTCTGATAAAAAAGCAACACTAAATAAAATATTCTGCCAATGATTGTTAACACCAACAAATGGTGCACAAACAAAATTATACTTGTTCAGCCTGTAACTAGTATAAAAAATTAACACATCTCTAAAACATTCATAATCTATCCTGCTTCTGCCATCAACCCAGAAAAAATTTAATAATCTATCCTGATCATCATATTGAACATCCCATGCGAACATGTGGTCATCAACTTGTCGATCTTTAAATAATCGAATCAAAGAATTAGTGTCACCAATTTCAATCCTTACTCTTTTCTCCTTCTGAATAAAATTGTAGGCATCTCTCTTAGAGAATTCAACATTCTCACATCCTCCAACTTCCTCTGCAAGGTAGGCATATGCATCAACGGTTCTAATCCCTACATTTGTCATCGATTTTAGGATGGAAGCTTTTTCCTCAACAATATTCCTACATGATCTCAAAAGATGTCGGTCGGCTGGGCTAGCTAATTCATAGTTGTGGAATTCAATAAATCTTTTGACATGCTAGTAACCATCTTCATCTGTGACAAACCTCACCATGGATGGACAACCAGTTCTGACATATGGTCTAGTGAATCTCTTTCTTGAATTAAGATCAATACTTTTCTTGAAACCTGCTTTTGAACAAACAAAGTCTTTCGATTTTATCTTCCTAGAATTTGGCCAAAAACTGTGATGATCCTTTTGGACGCTAAAGCCATTATCATGGGCATAAGTGCAAAAACATTCATATGCTTCTTTCTCATCTTTATAAACAGTCTGAAATGATAACAAAATAATTACAAAAAGCGCAAGTAAAGTGCAAGTAAAGCGCAAGTAAAGCACAAAAAAGTGCAAGTAAAGCGCAAGTAAAGCGCTATTTTTTTATCATCTTCATCCTAAAAATAATAATGAAAGCTACACAACAACATTAGAGTTTTTTTTACTTTTTCGAAAAAAAAATTTTTATTATGCCTAAAATCACAATATCTAAGATCCTATGACTGTAATGAGCCGAAACCTACGCCTTTTTTCTGCGACCATGATATTAAAACTGACTATTTACAACTTTCTAACTCGTTTTTCCAAGAAACTTACCGATATGTTGAAACCAGAGGATGTTCTAGCTAAGTTAACTTTCGATTTCGATTCATGCCACCAGCCCTTCCGATTCATGCATCCTTTCCGATTCATGCACTCCCTCTTCCATGCCCTCTTCCACCTCCCTCTTCGCTGAGCACTCTATTTCTTCTCTGCAATTTTCTAGCTCGTTTTTCCTTCTAAATCAATAGATATTTTCGTCTTTCGCAGGTTTCAAATTGCGAAAAATGGCGGCAAATGCTTAAAATTCAATAAAGTGAGTTACTGGATCGGGTCGATCGGACAGATAAAACATAAAACAAAGATATTAAATTAAAAAACTAGCTGCCAGATGTCATTTTTTTATTTATTGGCGTCCGATCGCGAAGATGGGTTGGGTTAGCTGACCCAATAATTTGCCTCGTGATGCGGGTATGCTCTTCTTTTCCGCCGGTTGTTGCACGCCCGGTTCCGGACCGCTCCATTGCCACACCGCTCGCACTCGTTCTCGACGCTTGCGCTTGCTGATCACTGTCATCCCTCGCACTCGCACTCTTGCACATTGACATGGAATCCGTGCTCCGGAGAACAGATATCGATTTCGAAGCCCTAAACCCTCAAACGCGAAAATTCTCATGCTTCTCATCTTACATGCCGCGCCGAATCCATCTTGATAGTTCATCGTACCGTTCTTTTGTTCGCATCCTCTCCCATTGTATTGAACAATCTCTCGTTCCTCCGTCGTCAGCTCTGGAGAAAATCCTATCCGTTAAAGACCCAATTTCAAGTCACGGAAAAGGCGAACTTAATCAAGATCAGGAAGCAGGTGAAAACATCGATGAAAGAACCTTGGGCAGGAGGCAAGAGGGCGATCGCTGTGTTGATGGTGGGGTTCAGAGAGTTTCATCTGCTGGTGCCGAGTTGGTTGGTCTCGATCTCAGCTCTTTTGATGAGGAGATTGAGGCGTGTGTTAACAGCGAAGAGCTCCGCAGTGTCATGCTTGAATGCGGTAGCTTAATTGACTGGTCTAACGAGGAGCGAAGTGGGGAATCGCAAGAAGGGAATGTACAGGCTGGTCATGAGGAGATCGAAAGAGCTTTAGTTCATGGTGCAGAGGAAGGAGTTTCTCATATAGTGAAGGTTTCGGTAATTGCTAAGGGAGAGGGGATAATTCCTAATGCTAATTCATTGAACGAAGCGGAAGATATGAGGAAAATAGCTGACGTTGGTGATCCGGTAAGTGGTGAGCCACTAGTGGGTACTGATTATGGGAAGGGAATTCTGGTTGAAACACATGATGGAAATTCAAAAGGAGCCGAAGAAAAAGGAGAAGGAACAAAGCAACAAACAAATGTTTCTTCTATTTCTTTTGTGGATTATTCAGGTTTGAGAAACTTGAAAGAAGACCAATCACACACTTTACCACATCAAATTGACGGGGCAGAGATGGAAGAAGGTGAAATTTCTGATGACGCCCAGGATTTAGAAGACCTGGCTGATATTAATGACAACGTGGAAGTGCCAGAGGATCACAGAAAAGAAGGGTCAGTAATTAGATATGCTTTTCTTTTCCTATCTGCACAAGTATCGGATTGTCTTTCTTTCCTAAAATAAATTGATATTTTAGACGAAGTAGGGATGATTTAAACGTGGTTGCATCTACTACGAATTGTATTCGTAGAAAAGAAGTTACTGAGCTTGGGGCTAGTCTACTTGATACATCAGAAAAGGATTCACCATATAAAGCAAACCATAACAAACAAAAGGTATCTCATTCATTGATTAAGCTTCTAGTTGAATGTTTTTTTAGGTGCAGCTTTGTCTAGTGCACTTCTTTGGGAGTATCTAAACAAAGTAGCATGCTACAGGTCGTGAAAGCTAGGGAGAAGAAGAAGAGTAGCACTTTGACTGAGGAAAGAAAAGCTAAGAAGAAGGTTTGCATTGTATCCCCTGCTTATTATTATTGCGTCCAGATAACATACACAGGGTTGTGTACGGTATATAGTTGGAAACTATATACTATATACCTATGTTCTCACACAACAAAAAATAGATAGCTATACAACCCGGCCTATACATATGCAACTCCATGTACATTATGAATATTCTCTTGCTTATAGGTTGAGTTTGAATGAAAATATTTCAAAAGGGAAAGAAAAAACTTACGTTTCTTGTACAATTTTGGTTGGTTTTGCAGATTGCAAAGAAAAGGAAAAGAGCACAGAAAAATAGAGAACAAGGTGTTAAGAAATTAAAGCTACATGCAATTGTAATACCAAAAGAAGTAAAATATTGCAACTTTTACCGGATGGGAAGATGTCAGCAGGTTTTGTTTCTTTATTTTAATTCCGATGTTGGCTAGATTACTTACAAAAGATTTTTTTTTCCTTTTTTAAGCTAAAATTCTCTCGTGGTTAACTACAACCATTGACATGCCTTTGAGAATCCAAAATGGTTAGAAAATTTTTTTTGAACACATCACTCTTACGAAATGAGCATATACGTGAAAGAGGTGCAAGCCTCATAAAAAAACTCGAGGCGTAAGCATCGAGGCGTTTTTTACTGGAATTGCGCAAAGGCGGGCCTCAAGGCGAGCCTCATATTGCGCAATTTTAAACCATGCTCTTAGGGTATGATGGTTAGTTTAGTCAGCAAGTACACATTAGCAAATTACGAAAGCAAAGAGAAGAAATCTTATTGCCATACCAAACAGCCTGCACATTGTGCAATGTTTAAGGATTGCACCTAACAAACGGCTGTACTAACATACTTTTAATTTTATTTGAGGCTAATACATTGTCTAGAATGCACTGTTTAAGGATTGCATATGCTTCTAATTTTGTTTTAGGCTAATATATTGACTGGCATGCTTCATCTCATTAGGCATTTCTTGACACAAGTACACAACAAAATATCTTTGAGGCATTGAATTTTCCTTCCAATTGTCATTAAAGATCAACATATTTTGAATTAATGTAGGAATTAAAAGTTCAACCTCAACTTTACATCTTGTTGATGTTTTGGACATAATTTTAGTGACAATTTTTTACTTAATTCTCATACAAACGTGAAATTGTTTGCTTGGGATTACTGAATGAAATAAAAAATGTATAGGAAACTTGCATTTGGTATGGCCTCAATACATTTAAACTTCAAGTGATGCATATCAATCCATTTTTAAAGAAATTAATGATTTTTCAGTCTGTATAAAAAGCTAATAAACTTCATGTTAAATTAACATGAGTGAAACATGCAAGCATGAATGGATTCTCTTGACCTATATCCTAGACTATAATCTTGAATGAATACTCCTGATTTTGGTCCCATATTATTTTTGATGTTCTTGTCATAAAGGATAAATTAGTACTTAGATGGCATTGCTTTAATAGAAGTGTCCAATCTACCTCTTTGGGAGCGCTAAGAGATCAAACAAATTAACTTTGGAGAAACAAATATAGCACTGCACATGCCCCTCTTTATTTGTATGCTACCACCATAAAGAATCCGTTTAGGGAGCATAGATAGTTCCAATTTGTATAACTCATAGAATGAGATTATAAAATTAAGGTTTAATGGTACTTACCAAAATACTCTCATTCATATAACAATGCTTCATTCTCCCTAGATTAAAATTTGTCATATCAACAAAAAATAAAATGGATAACCAAATCTACTCAAATCATTAAAAACTTTGAACCCATAGGCTTTTTTTTTTTTCAACCCATAGCCTTGAAGGGTATCAATATCTGCAAAAGCTGATCAATGTCATTGTTAGAACTTGAGAATATGGATCATCTTGGTATGTCAGCATGACTGTGTAGTGTACAGATTTTTTTTTAGTGAAATCTTTTCATATTTAACTTTCTCTCGAATTATATAATGTTCAATATGAATTTGTTTGTTTATGTGATGTTACATCTATTTTTAAGTTAATTGAATAACACGTTGACTATCACAGAAAATCATTAAGCTATCCTAAAGCAAACTTAAATTTCCAACTAAATAATCTATTTGATAGTTTTAGAAAGTGATTTATATGTTACTTCCATAGTAAAGAAATGTGACTGAAGGCAAGTCTTTTAGCTAATGACACGCTTAGAGAGATTGAAAACATATTTAGTCTGAGACCTCTTATCAATATTAATAGCATAATCAAAATTCTTGAGATCTCTTATCAATATTAATAGCATAATCAAAATTCTTGTATCATTGCCTGTAAGACTGCTTTAGCTTATGTAGATACTTTTTAGCAGAATCATATCATATTCTTTTCATGCAACTTAAATGCCTAATAGTTACTACATATGAATCTTCGCATCCAAATAACCTTGGATACAATTTGTCTTCCCGTTTTGTTATTATAATTCTAGGTCCTATATTTCAACTACTACAAACCAAGTATGGATAGTACTATGTCTAGCTATAGGTGAGAATATCTTTTTCAAATTCATACTTTCTTTTTAACTATTGTCCTTTTCAACCAATTGAGCTTTATATTTAATATATCTGCATCTTGGGTTTTATCTTGGAACTCGAAGATTCATTTACAACCAACAATTCTTTTTCCTTCAATTAGTTAGACCAATTCTTAGATTTCATTCTTTTGTGAAGAGTTCAATTCATTTATTTTTGTTGTGGTCTGTTGCCAGATTCTTTCCTTTAACAACTTCATTAGAACTTAAAAAAAAATAAAAAAATAAAAAAAAAAAAAAAAAAAAAAAAAAAAAAAAAAAAAAAAAAAAAAAAAAAAAAAAAAAAAAAAAACTTCATTAGAACTCGATAGCTCTTGATTACCAATATAAGATAAAAGCATAAACATCCATTTAAAAAAAAAGATAATACTCAAAATCATATATTTGAGGTGCCGTAATATGCCCTTTAATACTATGAGAAGTAATAGTTTCTTCTGGCTATGGTGGTGTCAATGTGTAAGTACCAATTACAATAGGCTATTTTGACGGGTTATCATGGAACAACTCATGCTCATCCTCAAATCTAACATATCTTTGTTCTTTCTGTTGTACTTCCAAATCAATAAGTTCCACTGACATTTGTTAAAGCATTATGCCACATTGAACTTGACATACCTATTGATCAAGAATTCACATGAGTTGGCATCAATACACCAAAGTATGTATCCTTTCAATCCATTTGTATATCTGAGGACTATACACTTCTTAGCTTTAGGTGTCTAATTTATCTTCCTTGACATATGCATATGTAGGACAACCAATGATTTTTAAATTGAATTATCTATAAGATGGCTTGAACATTCCTCTTAAAAATCAATTAATTAGAGTAATGGAGATTTGTTCATCAAATAGCATGCAATATTAATAACTTCAACCCAAAATTCTTTGCTCAAACTAGCATGGTGTTACATTCATCTGGCCCTTTCCATGAGTCATCTATCTTTTACTTTGCCATTCCAGTTTGTCGACGTATATCCATCACGATCTTATATTTAACAATGATTTTCTTTTGACAAAAAAGTCTTTAACTCAAAAGAATGGATTTCTAAGTTGTTGTCCATCCCCATTCTCTTGGTCTTCTTGCCTATGCTTCTCAATCTGTGCTAAAACCCATTCTTTTGCTTAAAAATGAGAACTCAGACCATCATTCAAAATCATTTATAAAGCATGTTTCTTGATCACCTTTGATCTAACACTAGTAGAATCATAAGTTTAAATGAATGTAAGCTAAAGTACAATTGTTTTGACTAACACCAATAAGAAGTTTTTATTTGTAATGCTTAGTCGATTGCAATGCTCACAGAACTTTAAACTCCAACTTTCTTGCAAGCATTTTTTGCTTAGCTCTAATAGGTTCTATTTAGACATATGCCCAAGTCTATTATAACATAGTTACACCTTCTGTTGAAGAAACTTATGTCGCACTTATAACCATCGTAACTAGTGACGACTAAATTTTTTTCCTCATGAAAAACATGTGACCCCGAAAACATATAAAACTCTGCCGTCAACATTGAATTTGCATCTATTGGAGTTCAATTAGCACAAAGACAAAATTCTTCTCTAAAATTGGCACATATCTAACAACTCCTGAAGTCCCCACGAGTGCATATTTGTTGATATGAATCGTCCATATCCCAATAATTTCATATCATGTCATTTTGCCCATAGCAACATTTTCACCATTTGTAGATCTATAAGATGAAAAGCAAGTTCTATGAGGGTGAATGTGATATGAACATTTATAATCAAGCATCTAGGCTTCAATAGAAGAAACAAAGTCATTTGTGGCTGTCAGAGCTAGATCAAACCTATATTTTATTTTCCATTAATTAATGTTACTTTAGTGTTGGATTTGCTTTTCAGATAAATTTTTTTTCTTAATATTTTCTCGTCATAGTCTTCATTCTTATTTTCGTTGTCCAAGTTTCTTGTATTATTGGCGCGATCCCTTTTTCTTTTCTTTTACTTTTGATCTTCTTCTTTCTTTCTTGATTTCTCCAAGCTCGTACTTATCCTCATAAATGCGCTCTCAATTGTGGTTTCTCATTGTACCTTCTTCCTCAACTCATTTGATAGGACATATTTTACCTCTATCATGATAATAGTGTCCTTTTCATATAATAAAGGGGCGACAATGTCTTCATAAATGTTGATTGTTTAGAGCATAACAAGGTCAATGCTTTATCGTGCTCATGCTTTATATTTAGATTTGTTAGGTCCAAAAGTAGCTTGTTTTGAGCATCAAAGTGCTCTTGTGTTGATGATCATATTTCGTATGAAATGCAAATGATTGTCACTTTAAATAGAAATGAATAGTAATTGTCTTTGTTTTGTAGAGAGATTTCAATCTTTCCCTTGTCTTGTATATGGTACTCTGTTTTGCTACATTACAAATAACGTTTTCTCCAAAATTGAGAATGATCAAACTAAAGGCTCTATACCCTTCTCCGCTTCCTATGCGTTAGATTGGGAATCCTTCTCCTTCAAATCCTTAAGCTAACCCTTCTTAGAGAAAGATGCTCACATTTTTTTTAGATGTTGAAATTAATCTTTCCCTTGTCTTTAGTGACTTTAGCACCCTAAATGAAAATAAAGGTTTTTGTTTTTATCGGCGTATTAGTAAAACGGAAGTTAGAGAGGCTTTAAAGAAAATGAAGTATGAAAAAAATGTTGTACCTGATGATATTCCAATAGAGATGTGGAAATGCTTTGGAGATAAAGGAATTTCTTGGCTTACTAAACTTTTTAATATTGTTTTGAAGACTAAAAAGGTTTTTGTTTTTATTGGCGTATTAGTAAAACGGAAGTTAGAGAGGCTTCAAAGAAAATGAAGTATGGAAAAAATGTTGTA